ATATATATATATATATATATATATATTACAATTTAAAAATAATTAAAAAAGTATTTAAAAAAATAATTAGTTTAATAAAAGTAAAAAGATGTGTATATTACAACAAATTTTGTTTACTATTTATATATTTAATATAAATATTAATTCAGTATTCCCATATACTCACACACAATTAATATTTAAATATATAAATGAGAAGTAAAATTTATTTTCGGCAAACTCTGTATAGTTTGGAATATACGTGAAGAAACCTCGCATAAATCAAAGTAATCCATATTCCGTTCCGTGATTAGCAACTTTGACACGAAGAGAGTAATCCTATAGAATAGATTAATCCATATATATATATATATTTTACCATCCTATATTATAAATCTATTCAAAGATATATCCGCTTCTCCAGTGTAAGTTTTAATCTATCCGTTGAAGTCTGTTGAAACACTGGCGTTGGACGTATTAAATTTTCCTGCTGCGTCAAACGGCTTTCAAGCATTTTATCGCTCTCATTTTTATCGCTGCTCTTCATAATTCTCCCATCGTTCTCCCCACTCCGGTAGCTCAAATTCCCATCTCGTGCGGCTGGACCACCGCGTTTTTTCGACTTTGTCAGTCGTTGCAACTGCGTGTTGTATCTCGGCCTGCGTCAACCATCGGTGCGTCACGTTCATCCAGTTTGCATCCAGAAACTCGAGGAAGGAACGGACTTCGCTCCCGACCACAATTAGCATTTTCGGTACGTCCATCTCGCTAATTAGTCGCCATGTAACTCGCATTTCTCTCTCACGAGTCGCACGTAAAAACGATAAATTTTGCCGCAATTTGTATATTGTTGAATCAAACTTTGGCGCGAAAAGCCGGCAAAGAAATGTTCTCTGCTTCGACGAATAAAACGCTCGCGGCGTGGCATTTATGATCGTCCAGCAAATGGCATTAATGTGTCTACGTAATGCCACTACCGTTAGATAATATTTTAATCTCGCTTTATCTTATCCGAGTTAATAATAATAATCTCTGTTTAAGAAACATTTATAATATATTTTTTGTTCCATTAGCACGATCACGATGACGTTCGAAAAAACACGATATGTACATTATTTGAAAACATTGGCAAGACGAAATCTACACAAAATATTGATGTGTTTAAGATATTTCTTTTTTTTTTTATCTTCCGCAAACTTGAAAAATAACGATTCGAGCGACTTTTGCTTGGTTTTCATTAAATACGATAGATAGTCCGTTTCATTCATTTGATTCTGTAATCGCGTAATCAATCGTAAATCTATTATTGTTGGAATTTCGAAGTAATGGATTAAATTATACACATAATTGAAAACTAAGTAGATTTAAAAAGTATCCTTCTTACTTATAATTCATTTCCGAATGTCGTGACCCGTGATTATTACGCAAGATTACGTTCGGAAATATCGCCCGAGTGCTCTCGTGTATGTTTGTTTATTATTTGAGGCACAACAAGGATAAAATGATACATGAAGTCATTTAGGTAATGTTTCCGGACGTAGTCCAATAAGATTTCGCCATGCGTTTCGATCTTCTCCGCCGCTCTCATTATCCGCGTAATAAAAAGGTCTGTTAGTGTTTTCATATCGTCACTCAAACTGAATCTTCCTCTTTTTTTTTCTTTCGTCACCATCCGTTGAATGATTAATTTTCCTATGTTGTCTCGTATCACGTGACCGAAGAATTTGAGGATTTGTGCCTTTGTATAGACGCTAGCAGGCGTTTACTCGGCTCTATTTATAGTTCCCGTAGGATCGAAGCGTTCGTCCTATAAGCTGTCCTAGGTAATTCATAATATTCTTCTATTCTTCTATATCATCTCGAATGCCTCAATCCTCTCCCGGCATTCCGCATTTAAAGTCCAGGATTCTTATCTGTAGGTAGCGATTGGGAATATATCAGTGTTTCCACCAGCCTCTTTTTCGTTGTCTTTCCATATGTGTGGGTGTTGTGGATCTTTTCGTATCCTTGTTGTTAGTTGGCCGACTTTGCGATGGCGATTTTTCTTGTAACTTCCCCTTGGGTGTCATTCTTATTAGAGATGAGGGCTTCTAAGTATATAACTTCATTTTTTCTTGAGATGTCTTGCATAGGCCGCTGACTTTTCTGTCCATAAAATCACATTTCGGATCGATTTAGTTTCAGGTCGACTTCTGTGTTGTATTTTTCAACTCTTTGGAGCAATTCTGATATTTTTTTCTCCGAGTCAGCCAAGATCGTTGTGTCGTCACAGGTTTGAAATCTTTCTTTTTCCCGAAATCCCGAATTCCTCCATCCCAGTCCTTTGTTGTCCTTTCTGATAATCCCTTCTCTATATATGTATATTATTAAATAACAGGAGAAACAGCACGCATCCTGTCGGATGACTTTTCCCACTTTAAAGTTGTTTCTTCTATTCGTACGTAAATGGAGTTCGTCGTCATCTTTCGATTTGTTTGTGAGCGTTGTTATCCTTGTCCTTAATCGGGAAGTATCTTGGCTTGAAATTTCTAGACACTATGTTAACTTTCTGGAACAGATCTCTTAGTTTCTTTTGATTTATATGACGTTCAATATCTTCGCATATCGATGATTTTTTTATCCTTTCTCTTCAGGATTCTGTTTACTGCTTTTATCGCTCCGCCCAATTATTTTTGGTTGTTTGTTGTTTTTGTTTTTATCGATTAACTTCCAGATTTCTTCTGAGATCTAGGGTCTTCTAAAAAAGTAATCTGATTAAAATAAGCGTGAATATTGCTTTCTGAATTTATAATTAAAGACTGAGAATTTGTTATTTTATGCATTGATATTTTTAACATTGTATTAAAATGCACCCGTGCGTGCGTGAGTGTGTGTGTGTGTATGCATGTGTATTTACTGATATGTGAATGGATTCTGTGATATTAATTTTATATTTTACACTTATTTCGTAACGTCAGGCTATTGTTGCAACAAATTTTAATATCAATCGTTTGCAAGTAAACAAATTCAATTTGCACATTAATCATATCTAAATCATATTTTATTATATTTTATGTGTAATCTTTGTAAAAAAACAGGCACAGCTGTTTTTTTCTCTTCGTTAAACGTGATGTATTGTTTATTATATTTCATTAAATACACGAACATTTTAAATTTCTCATTTTTGGTAAAAAAAATATTCTGTTACATGAAATATTTTGTTAAGTGAAATATTAAACAATCTCGATACGTTCATTAATAAGAATTAATTATGTTTCAAATTTGCTGAATTTTTAATGATATTTTAATTATATTCATCAATCATTTAGCACAATAAGTGAATTATATCGATATTTTTTTTTTTTCGTCGTGCAAAACGGCTGCTTTTTCCCTATTTTTCTCGCATTGTTTTGTCACACAAATAAGATATTAGATTTCTTTGCAATTTCAGACGTGTAAAAATGACGAGCCAATGCATCTTTTCTTCTTGAATCACTCCATCGCAACGTCGACGAACGTGAGGGAACGACGAGCGGCGTCGATGAAGCGGTATCACCACGAGAGCATCGTCCGCCACGTTGCATTTGCTTCTAAGAAGTTCCTCTTCCGGGGGAGAATTCCCGGCGGCGGAAATCGCGCGGTGTAATCCTCCTTCGTCGTGGTCCATCCGAGAGCGGCGCTTACGGCACACGGGAAGCAATCTCGACTACGCTTTCCGGGGGGGGGGGAACCGAAGTACACTCAGGGACTTCGTTACCTCTTCCGGTCTATATTTTCCAAAATCAGACTCGTCGGGAATGACGAATTTCTCGCGGGCACGCGGAATGTCGTCGGCGAGACCGATGGTGCGTAAAATCGCGAAGTGATAGGGACGCGGACGATCGGTATCCGGGAAGTCGCGAGGTCGTGCCGTATGCATTGATCAGCCGGGGATCGTTGAAGCGAAGTCAAGGACACGGGTAATATCGTCCGCGGATATATATACGTGTGTGGGGGAGGGGAGAACTCGTGATCCCCCGTCAGGACTTACTCGAGGACTTGCGCGTTACACGCAACAGAATTCAAAGTGCGGTGTCCCGGTCTCAGTGAGATGGCCTTCATGATGAAGAAGAAAAAGTACAAATTCTCGGTAGAGGTCGACCTCGAGGAGCTCACGGCGGTGCCATTCGTCAGTGCTGTCCTTTTCGCCAAGTTGAGACTCCTAGACGGTGGTTCCTTCGTCGATCATTCCACCAGGTGAGTGTCGTACTTGAGAATTGAAGCACTGTTTTATAGATTTAGTCAATCGTACACGTAATTTTTGTTTATCTGATTAGACCGCTATAGAAGAATTATAATAAAATATTGAATGAGGGAGGGGAGAGAAAAAGAGATTGTCAAAATATGCTAAAATGGAAGTTATAAATGTGATCAACTGTAAAATCATTGAATTGTTAACATGTCGAA